TGGAAAGCGCTGGAGACGCTGTAGTACATATGCCAGGCCTGTAGATGGTGCTGTTCTCACAGAATCAGCCCATGAAAAGACAGTGTTAAATTGAGCGAAATGAGGAATGGCTAAAATGCATGATCTGTTTGGTATTTTGAAAAATAAAAAGTATAAATATGCCTTATATAGGTATGGTCCTACACTATATTATTCAAATATAGCATGATAGGTCCACTTTAATATATATTGGTCTTGTATTTTATAAGAAACAAATTGTTTACGTATGTGAAAGGAGAAGAATAACATAACAGTTGTAGTAAGGTGTATACACTAAAGCAGCCACAACAATAGATATATATTATGGGAAGTGAAAAGGCTTTTTGCTTTAAGTTATTTTATCTCATTGTCTCTTTTTCTTTCCCTCCGTCAGGGCTCAGAGCTTTTTTGAGCAGCCCCCAGAGGTGACTGTGGATCTGCAGTCAGGAGAGTTCCTGGGACCTCTGCAGTACAGGACCTGGAGGAAAATGAGCTCAATTTTTCAGCCAGGTATTTAAACACCTAACACAATTATGAAAGCAATGGCAATAAATGCGGCAGAGGCTCAGTTATATCAGTAAAGCTTAACAAAAACGTAATCTTATATTGCAACTCGGGTTCTGTGAAACATTGGCAGTTTCCAAGTCTGTGCCTCTTTAAAAAACAGTTTCCTTTATCTATTAATACTTGATTTATTTGCTTTGCATTTTATGTTCTGTCTCATTATCAACATGCTCTGCCTAGAGAAGTTGGACAACTGTTTTAAACTTGACTGTACCTGTTCTCCAAACTTCTGGGTCAAATTTGGGTCAAAGTCAAGATTTATTTGGGGTAATTTGAGTCAATGACATGTAATCATGCATTGTTGTTGATCGTGCAACACTAGACTGCACTAAAGAATGGAGTTACATCTTGACGCATATCATTTATATTTTATTTGTATCCATGTAGCTGATGCTCTTATCCAGCTCGTCTTACACTAATTAGACAGGAAGGCATTCATTCATCTAGTTGAAGGTCACAGCCAGTCTTTCTCTGTAAACAAGTTTGTTGTTGAATTGCAACATTTCTAACCCTTCTCATGTTATGGCCCTCTTAGCTATCACCGCTGTGACCCTTGACCCGAACACAGCTTACCCCCGCCTGTGGGTGTCCCCGTGTTGCACCAGCGTCGAGGTGGGGAGAATCCAGACCAACCTGCCCAACAATCCAGAGCGCTTCACCCGCTACAACATCGTCCTGGGCTCTGAAGCCTTCTCCTCTGGGAGACACTACTGGGAGGTGGAGGTGGGCAACAAGACAGCGTGGGGTCTGGGCGTGGCCACCGCCTCCGTCAACAGGAAGGAGGAGATCAGCCTCTGCCCAGATGACGGCTTCTGGACCCTAGTGCTGAGGGACAACGGTGATGGCAGCAGCGAGTACGAGGCATGCACTGACTCAGAGGAGACCATGATATATCCCTCCAAACCCCCCAGCAGGGTGGGGGTCTATCTGGACTATAGTTCTGGTGACGTTGGGTTTTATGATGCAGGAAACATGGCCCACCTCTTCACCTTCTATGGTGCAACATTCAAAGAGCCTGTTTTTCCGTACTTTAATCCCTGGCCAATTATCAACGGATACAACAGGGAGCCCCTCACCATAGTTACACCACACTGGGGATAGATTCCCCCTTCATCTCAGAACAGATCCAGAATAAAACTGCAGGACAAAGTTCATCAGATGTGGTGATAATGAACTTGGAAGTGACCCTGAAACATGAGACTTTAAATAGGAAGATGAAACTACTAAAGAACAAGACAAGTGTCAGACAATGTCAGACAAGTGAGACTTCAGAACACATGGCTGTTTGTACTCTATTTTTCTTATGGTCAACACATCAAAGAAAATATTTGTAATGTTGAATAGATGTGTGCCTGGCCTCTCTGGACGAGCTTTCACTACGGGCCCCGGCATGTTTCCACCTGACACCGTCCGTGAACTTCATACCAGCAATTCTCAGATTGTCTCATTGATGTTATCATGTTCCCGATTAGCAGTTAGTCTAAATCCAAAAATATTGCGAAATAGGTGCAAATCCTCCGCCTTCCTGTTTCTCAACTCTCCGTGATAAACACATGTGACACCCCCGCTGCTCTGTGCTGCAAATCTGCCGCTGTGAGGATCAGGCACTTTCAATTTGTTGTTACAGTGTCCACCAATTCGACTAAGAATGTGGTTTTATTTCTATTAAAAAAAGGCTAAAAGAGAGTGGGGGCAGTTGGGAAGTAATTGAATCATTGAATCTGGTTTCACCAGACAAACTGACTATGATGGCCTGCTAACAAATACTGTCTGTGTAGCCAAAGACGGATATATTTCATATCTCTATGACATAAGGACTTCATTGTATTTGAAATGATAGGAAGTGCCATCAACCTCATGGCATGTTTACTGCCCTGATGTATTGTCAGCTGTGACACTTTAGACAGGTGTGCTTTTCCAAGTCATGTTTTATCAGAATCAGAATACCTTTATTAGTCCCACAGAGGGGAAATTTGCAGCGTTACAGCAGGAAAGAGCCACAGACAGCTTAGTGTTGCATATCTTACATGCGTTAAAAAAGTACTAAGTTATAAATATATATATCAACTGCAAAGATCACAACTGGACTCCAATCCCGCCTTTGAAACCTCTCAAAGATGATTAAGAGAAATGAGGGACATCTGAGATACATTTTAAGAGCCAAAGGGTCTTCTTATGCCATCATTAACTTTTTCTTTTTAATACATTTGCTTGTTAAACCCTGTTTTCACTTTGTGAGCACAAGCTTTTAAGAAAAAAATTCAGTAAACATGAATGGGCTTGGGGCTGGGAGCCAAATGAGTACAGAGAAACAGACTACTTTTTGTGTTGCTTTTAGAAGAAACACAAAGAATGGCTATATCCTATTTTGTATTTGTTCTGAATTAATTAGAAAAGTGGTAGGTCATATCACTTTGTAATATAGCCAAAGGCCAAAGACTTAAAAGAGTCCATGACAAGTTTTTGATTTTTAGGAGCCTATGAGTTATCATGTGACAGCTAGCTGGTGCTCAAAGATACACACAATACAATTTTGACACTGAATGGTTGTTTGAAAAAACATTTCAAAATTGTATTAACAGTCGATGCTAAATATTTTAGTGTGTGTTTTGGAACAATATCTAACATTATAATATCATATATTTTAAAACCGTTTTATAGCCGTTATATATCCAATCATGTTATTCTAATAACATGTAGAGTTCAACTGAGGAAATGATGTGTAAATCAGATGACTAGCCTACTAATATTGGTTTCTAAATGCCTTTACTTTACAAGGTTAATATACATGAATGTTCCATCACAATTAATACATCAACCGATTGATCAGAAATATTTTCTTAGTGTTTTTGAAGTTTTTAATAAGGAAAACACTATTTAGAAATGTGCCGTTCGATTTTAATAATTCGATTAAATTTCCTACTAATGTTGTTGTTTCATTTGATTCCACTAGAGGGCACCCTCATCTAGCTTTGAAGGCAGCACCACTGTGTCGCTGTGCTCTTTATAATACAACTTTAAACTTGTTCCTATAACCATAAGGAAGCTATCTGCAGACAAAATAAAGCTTTAGGTAACATCTCATCTTGGGTGATTCAGAATTATTTTCCACCCAACTCAATTTTAAATATGTAGCCAGATTTCACAAACCACGTTGTATTATACTATGTTATAATATAGATGGATTGCAAACATTAGTATTTCAAGCAACTTCTAGGAATTTTCAAACAGACAGGAGGCAGGGCTGGATAAGATATTTAGATCCTTTACTCAATGAACAATATGAAGAAATATGGGGGCAGCATTTCACCCTTCAATACTGAGTCAATACAACCTAAATGTACTACTGACTGTCATAATCTTTACATATGGCATCAGCTTTCACATTAGCCATCTGTGCGTTTGCTATACCAGTAAACGGAGGCTGTTAAGTCTGTGCAATTGAACTTTTGTTTACTGGTCTAAGCCCCAAAGGTAAGAAATTACAAAATGACTTACACCTTCTTTTCGTCTGCCGCATGTCAAGAAGGCCACCCAGTTGGCAGAAGAGCAGTTGGCATTTCAGCAGATTACTCTGAAACAAAACACATAGACGTCTTAATGACATACAACCAACACTGTAAGCTATTCACATTCTGTTGATGATGTTAGTTCAAAACCAGCCGTGACCATGACGTTTGTATTGTTTCAGCTTGTGAGTCTGTGTTTGTGTGTCATCATTGCAAAATGTGCTCCTGGAGACACCTCCTGTAGCAGGAATTACCACAGAAGAGCACTTTGAAAAGTGTTGCCACTCGCCCAAGGTCAAAGCGAGCAATGGTGCCAGAAGTAGGGATGTGGGAAGTGGAGAAAGGGTCCAGTGGAACCCCCATTTAGCGTGAGATAGTCTCTGGTTGTTTCACTGTTTTTAACTAAAGAATGGCCGCATACAACTTACACATTGCCTCTTTAAAGAAAAGTATTATCAGTAGAACGACACCGAAGAAAGGCAAAGTACGATGACTCATGGAGGACAAAGATACAGATCCAAAACATCTGGAATGAGGCACCAACAGCAAGGCAGAGAGACGGCCAATGGTCCAGCAAACCCATGTCAACAATGTGTCAAAGAGACACCAGGAAGTGGAAGGTCATAAAGGGTCTTTGTTCAGCCCATTCTAAAATATAATGCAACAAAACAAACAGGATGTTACGCTACAGGTTAGAACAACGTCCTGTTTGACACAGTCTAAACAAAACCCTGATTCACCAGGTTGTGTTGCCTTTGTTTGACTTTGTGTTAACCTGTTACGGATACGCACAAAGTGGTTTTTTTCAATGTCCAGTTGAGCAAGGTTAATGAGATCCCTCGAGCCAATTGTGCAGTAATCTGTGACTACTATTACAAACAAATAAATAATGACAATTAGTCTGACCCAAATAAAAAGTATCTTTTATCCATGTCAGCTTTATCTCTGTGCGTCATCTGCCTCAACGTTAACCATAGAGTGCAGGTCTTAAGACTATACGTGCCAGGCTAATGTCTTGTTCTCTCCGTTAACTATCCTGATCTGTAATTAGATATTATTGCAGGCCGATCAACATGCAGTAACACAAGCCTTCACTATACATTACTGCTCTGATGCCACTCCCTCGGTCATTAATCCCTATCTTTGATCAGTGTCAGTCAAGGTGAAATAGCAGTCTGAGATGAAAAAAGTTATCCACAGTTTCTTTAGAAACTTCTTAACACACTAATTTCTTAAAAAGTCTGTGTTTAATTCCATCCCTCATCTCCCTTTTTATCTTTTTCATTAATCCTTCATCTTTGCTTTTTCATATGACAGATCCGTTCCCAAAATACAACCACTATTTTTAACTCAGCACAGCTTATTCTGTAATGGATCGCTTTTCTGAGTTCAGCCCAAGAATTTGCCTCATCCTGCCATCCATAATGGATGAGGAGAGGGCCTGATGAAAGACAGCGAGCCTGCACGACGGGGTAAAAGTGATTAATGGAAACCTCATTAGAAACTGGAGAGAAATCAAGCTATTCGTTATCCGCAAGTTGAGAATAAACACCATCAGGTTGGATGTGTAATGTGGGGGTGTGATAAGAGATGTAGAGTCGGAAAAATAATCTCGCTAATTACTTTGAGAGAGATGTGAAATATTTGAGAGACATTTTCTTAAATAAATAAATTTGTTTGATTTCATGATGAGATTATTTATTTTTCATCCGTGGTAGCTGAACATTAGTTACTACTGACGAATGAGTGTTCTTCCAAGGACAATTACTGTGATTCTCTAAATCACAAAATCTATATTGTTTTGGTTTATTGTAAGTCTTTAAATACGCTGACAACACAATGTCAGTCCATGTGTCTGACAAGATTATCTATCCAAAATGAAAAGTGTTAGTTTTACTTGATCAGTTTTCCATCAGCATAATCGCTGAACTTTAGACAGAAAAGGTAAGCTTGAGGAAAAAGTATCAGAGAAGAATTTAGGGATTCTCAGTTAAATAAAAAAATCAAGCAAAAACATGCAGGTCCCTGCTTAGCTGTTTTGAGATGATAAGAGAATAATTGACTTCTGATTTTGCCTTGTTTCTAAATTAAATGATATGTTCTCCTCTGGCCCAGGTTAAGCAGTCTGTAATCAAATCCCTAGTGTTTCTATAATCAGACCTTAACAATATTGGACAAAAAGCAAATAAGGTACCATCATTGCCGAATTTTAAGTGAATACAATGTTTGAGGTTTTGTGAATATTGTTGATTTTCATTATGCAAAGCCTAAATGTTTATATTAATTTGCCCACAGCTTTTCTGGAAAACATCAGAAGTCTTAGAGTCGAGCCAATCCAGCAGAGCAGCATCAAGTGGCAATGGTACGACTCAATTCTACAAAACACATTTTCTGTGGAAGTCACAAAATCCTGAAACCTTCTACCTGATCATCACTACTATAAAAAGGGCTACGAAAACCTGGCGTACAATGTCATGTTTTCAATGTGTGCTTCATTGTATCCTGCTGGATCCAGTTACCCAGTGTTATCAGTCATTCAATGCATCTGCCTATAGCAAATAAAACGTAAATATTGAATATGATAGTGGATAGTTGCATATTTATTAATTATCATCTTTCAATGTAGATATTTTTTCTGTACTGCTTTTTGTTTCTGATCTGTCGTGCCATTTGAATTTGAGAGAGAAAGCAGAAGAGAAGAGTAGATAGAGGGAGATTTAAA